CTTAAATTGCTTTATTTGGACCTCTCCTTTGCACTAATCAAATTCTACCTTATATCATATTGTGCATTGTGTATATATCTTAATTAAATTTTAAGATCCTTGAAAGCAGAAATTGTGTCATTCCTCTCCCCAACCCAGAATGTGACCCAGTATCTTGAACATATTAAGCAATTAATAGATATTTATTGATTTGGGGGCATCCAGTGCAGTGGGCCTAGAGTCAGGAAGATCTGAGTGCAAATCTTGCCTCGGGCACTTACTAACTGTGTGACTCTGGGCAAGTCATTTAATTCTATTTGCCTCAATTTCCTCTCTGGAAAATGGGGATAATAATAGCACCTACTTCTCAGAGTTGTAGTCAAGATCAAATGAGATAATATTTATAAAGTACTTAACACAATGACTGGCACATAATAGACAATATAAACTGTCTGCTATCATTATCATCATCATCATTTGAACATTAAACATGCCAGTTCATCTTGTCTCTAGACTTTATATCAGAATACAATCCATTCTGAGCACTCCCTCAAACAAATAGTTATAGAATTATATTTGGCTTTTTTTTTTCAAAATTAAAGACCAAAATGTATTTTTATACATATTGTATTTGATATTTAATATGTACTTATTAATCTTATTTACATTATGAAAACTATTTTTCCTGAAGAAATGGTAGGCAGCTAATAATAATCAATATCTAATTTGCCTATTTTTAAGAACCGAAATGAATCCATTCAAACACAATTGTAATGGTTTGAACTGCACAAATTAATTCCAGACCAGTAGTGGTTTCTGCTCCAGCCAAGTCCCTACAACTTATCCATGACCTTCAAAGAAAGAAGCAAACATTTCTGGTGAGTTGGTAAAGACATAAATGGAATCTGTTGGAGGAATGTTGGGGTAGTTGGTAGTTTGTATGGCAGCTCCTTCAAATAGATGATTGCTAGTGATACATAGGTAGGGGATTGATCAGGGGAGGTCCTTGTTCACCTTGATGAACTATAGCTTAGGGAGTCTTTGGGTTTTTGAGAGTATGGACATGCTCATTGTTACCTTTTTTTGAGGGGGCTATGGACAACTCTTTAGGGTTACTTATGTAGTTCCCTGATCAACTTGATGATGTTACACTGATGGCTTTTGTTGGGTATTGCTGATGATGGAAGTAAGAGAACACAGGAATTTTATGACTTAGATTCTTGTGAGACTGACTGTTATGGGAGAAGCTATCTCTTTTATTCTGGCCTATAAAATGGAAATTTTCAGTCATAAACTTGGGGACTTTTCTCCTTTTCTAAGGCAAGACTGGAACACAACAGAATGGGCATGAATTCTTAGATTAGTGGTGATTAGAGTTAGTGTTCTCCACCTAAAAGCCATTAATGGCTGCCTTGAGATATAGGCACATGGAAGCTGCATGGGCATAAGACCCAAAAGGAGATAGGATAATATCTCCTTTGGATACTCAAAAGACCTCAAATTCTTAGCCCTAGACTTGGAAAGGAAGTAGTCTAACCTCTCAGTCCAATAGGTGGCAGCCAGAGAAAGGAGAACCACATGGTTAAATGGCAAGAGTTCTTGAACCCCAGCCTTCTGAAAAGAAAAGGGGGTAATTTCTGAGAAGCATAATCTTGGAATCCAGCTTTCTAGAGAGAGAGAAATAACTCCCAGGCAGTATCAACCAACAGGTTATTTCTTAACAATCCCAAGGTATGTAGTTCAGGGATTTAACTTTCTGGAGAAAGAATGACAGCTCCTAAGAAGCACCAGACTACTATAAAGAAAGAAAAAAGGATCACACACATGACCTTTGAGCCTAGAGAAGTCACTATATGAAGAGAAGTTCTGGACTTTGCCCTTGGTCCAGATTACATTATCCTGTTACCACATGGTCAATGGGAAAAATGCTACCTCCCTAGCAATTACAAATCATTTTCTTTCTGGGAAGAGTTCAAACCATAGGTTGGATAACTATCCAAATAGCATAAAGTAGGACTCACTGGAATATCACCCTGAGCTCATTTCTCTTCCAAGAAAATTCTAAACCCTAGGCTTGAAGGCTTGAAGACCCTAGGGAAAGATAGGATCCACCTGAATGGAACTTATATAGATAGTTTGTGGGTTTCTGAGAGTCTTCTATGTGTTTTCTACATTTTCTATGAGGTAGAATAAAATCTATCTGGCGCCCAATATATGCATTGTTACCTTGAATGCTTGTATAGGGTCAGGAAACTCTTTTACCTACATATGTAAACACACAGGCACAAGCTATGCTCAAGCTATATTCTCAGATTTCCCACAGGCAACATCAAATGAGACTATACACACCATAGAAATAAATATGATAGGAAGGAGAGGTTGGCCCTGAGATTTAAGCCAATCCTTGTTAAGTTCAAAGCTTGGAGTACTGGGCTATACATTATACAAATAAGGAATTGGCCAGAAGAGGTTATAATCACAAGGCCACCAAGGAGGCTTGACAATTTTGGTTGTTGGGCTGAATTATTGAATTGAATTGGCTTATTTTTAAATGTCTTTTAGAGTTTGTGGCTCAGTGATGAAAGTACTAGACTCTGAACTGGGTGACCTAGGTTCAATGACCAGCTCTAGTATTTACTAGCTGTGTTACTCTGGGCAAGTCACTTACCTTCTCTGAGTTTGTTTCCTCATCTATAAAATGGGGATAAGAATACTTTACCTACCTCACAAGGTTGTTATGTGGAAAATACATTAAGAGAAAGGTCTTTGGCTAACACTATTTAGTATGTAGCCCTTTCCTACATGCACTGCTAATTCCACAGAATTCCTATCTAATAACACCTTCCTAGCTGCAGAAGCAGAAATAGGGCTAAGATTTTTATCAACATAATTTTGAAAACTAAAAATTTTATGAAATGATTAAAATGCATAGTCTCTTTTCTGGTAATTCTACATTTAGATGGCAGCCATTCATCAAGGTTATATTACTCAACATTTACTAATAATTTGGAAGGTTATTTTAAAATTCACTCTAAATAAGACTACCCTGAGCATTTTCCTCATAAAAAAATTATTTCAGCCATTGTATCTTCCCAATAGGATGTATGAAGGATATCTTCATTTATCAAGATTGCTGATCTATGTTATACATACTAACATGTTGGGGAGGAGGAAAAGATTCCAAGGAAACATCACATCATTTATTTACAGTGGTCTTTGTTGGGAGATGGGTCTGTTAATAAGGGCATCTGTAAACTGAAGCATTTCAGTTGAACCATTCGTGGGCTGACAGTCAGACGGAGCTACTGCTTTATTATCAAATTTACCCAGAGACTTAATATCAAACACAACAGAAAAATTCTGCACAAGTCTTCTAGGAGGTTGTGTACCTACCTTTCTGAAAGGAAAAACCAAGTCCTTTCATGGTAAGGTCACCATTAAGAAAAAAGAGCATCCGCATTTGCCTGTTCGCTAATTAATTCATAGCAATGGTGCAACGGAAATTAAGGCAAACAGAAGAAAACATGCCCTACAGCCCTTTGTTTCTAACGTGAAGGTCCCTGGCATTAATTGACCCTTCCTGCACTATTTAGACAGAACAATCCACGCAATTACTGAGAAGGATGGCATTTCTCATTCCTGTCCAAATACATTTGGAGTCTGTAACCAAAGTAAAAGAGATTGGACGGAAGAACCCTCTCAAGGTTCCTGTCTGGTTGACGGTGGAGCAACTTCTGAACTGAATATGACTTAGTCATATTGTAACCATATGATATCAGAAGAAAAACATGCATGAAAAAGATGTTGATCTGGTCAGCAACATCAACCACACACTACCTGCTTTCCACCATGTTGGCAGCTCCTGTGAAGGATGGTTGTCAAGCTAGCAACACAAACACGCACACACTGCGGAGCAGCGCCTGGAAATCAGCCCAGAACTTCCCTCCTCTTAATTTGCCTATTAGAATGGGATTGGAGGAGGGGGTTACCGGTAAGCAGTAGCCCCCTTTCCTTAACCTAGGAGTTTCTCCTAATTCGGGTTGCTGAAAGCCTTGGGGAGAAGTTGACCCTGACTATTCAGAGCAGAAAGATGGGCATAAATCTACTGATTAAACTCTTCCAAAGCCAGGAAGCCAGAGAGGGCGTTCCTGCAATATTTATAAGGTGTCTTCCAGGGTGCACCACATAGAGGATTAGCAATTACACTGTGAGTAAGCAAAAACGACACCTATACTTTAAAAACACGTACGCCCAACAATAAAGCGCAACCTGCACCAAACACACCCCCTTGCTTTAGGGACCAGTCATCCAGTCCTAGTCACAAGCCTCTTCTAATTCTACCTGCCCTAGGAAAAAAGAGATGGCATCTCCAGCCAGGGGTTTTCCCAGCAGATTGTTTCAGCCTTGAAACTCATTAAGCAGATAACCTCAGAAACAACAAGCTTGAGGGCCAGAAGCCAACTAGCTTCCCCGGTCCCCCCCCCCCTCCTCCACCAACTGCCGGCGGACTCAGCAGCCTAGGAAACCTCTGATGGGGGGGTGGGGTTTGCTGAGGGGCTCTGGGTCCGGCCACGCCCCCTTGCCCTCCTTTCACCCTGTTATCTCTCGTCTCCACACCCAGCCTGCCCCTTCAGGATCCTTTAGTGTCCTGTCGCTAGGCGACCTGCACTCTGTGCTGAGCTGGAAACAACCTGGCACCCCAACTTGCAGACAGCGTTGGGAGAGCGAAGTGCGTTCTCTTCGGGAGTCTCAGGGTGCTCGCCACTGCCAGAGGGGGCAGTCCGCGGAGCAGATAAAGCCAATGCATTAACCCACGCATCCCATTCAGCATCCGGCTCTCACCCTATTATGCTTTCTCCCTTCGCACCCCTTTTACAATTTGTGCTGCGCCCCAGTCCTACTGCAGCTCCTTCCTCCTCCCCGCCCCCCTCCTAGCCTTGTCTCTTCTTTGGGTATTCGTTTCCTTGCCCTTGCCCCCTTCCCGCATCCCCAGCTCTGCGCCCCAGAGCTCCGCCACTTACCTGTGTTCTGGCGACTGCTGCTGGTTAAACTGGTCCCACAGAGCGGCAGCCCTATCTCCATCCCTTCTTCCCCAGCCTCTCCAGCCTGCGCAACCTCCCGCTGCCTTCTATAAGCAGCTGGCTCGGCTCTCCTCGGTGGCAGCAGCAGAGAACAACTCTGTCACCGGGCGCCCGAGGCACGAGAAGAGCAGCCGCCTCAGATGCCGCACTGGATCCAGGCTGGCTGGGCGGGGGCGAGAATCTGGGTCAGGCTGAGGAGAGCAGCGTCGGGCTGCAACCTGGGTGGCTCCTGGCAGGGAGGGAGCCGGCAGAGGCACGGGGAGTGCAAAGGCTTCCCACTGGGCGACCAAAGCCTGCCCAGCTACTGAGCATGCCCAGTCTGAGGAGGGTAGAGTCACTGAGGGTGCAGGATGCTCCACATAGGGAGTGAGGTAGACAGTGTCGGGGGCAACTCAGAAATAACCTGCAAAGGGGTCAAGATAATAGGAAGACAGTACTACTGTTCAGGCCAATCTTGATTTATGTCTCCTTCCCTTACTACCCCCACCCCAAAGAAATGGGCTAGGTGTTATGGTATTCCATGGGTAGGTGGGTCTGTCTTTGGGGCCATCACCTGGTGAGATTCTGTAGAATCCTAGAATCACTGGAATTCCCACTGGCTAATTACCCTGGAACCATCAAAACTACCCTGGGCAAAAGCTATGGAGCAGTATGCCTACTGCTCTCTTGCTACCATTTCCCTAGTTTCTGGGACAGAAGGGGACAAATTATTAGCATACCTTACCTGGGCCTCTGCTCAGAGTTTTCCTGACTTCTCATGAAAATCTGGGAGGGCTAGGTGGCACAATGGATAGAGCAGGCATTGGGCTTAAAATCAGGAAAATTCATCTTCCTGAGTTCAAATCTGGCCTCAGACACTTACTAGCTGTGTGACCCTGGGCAAATCACTCTGTTTGCCTCAGTTGCCCCATCTGTAAAATGAGCTGGAGAAGGAAATAACAAACCACTCCAGTATCTTTGCCAAGAAAAGTCCAAATGGGGACATGAGAAGTTGGACGTGACTGAACAATAACATGAAAACCTATATAACCATGTCATATTACTTGAAGGCCTTCTTTTGCTTAATGTGCAAATAGAGAGAAGGGTTAGTATATTGTATATTTGTCTAGTAAATAATTTCTTAGTCTCCAAAATAACTCTAAAGAGAGATTTCATCTGTAGTGAAAGGTCGGTGGGAATGATATTGGGGAGGACAAGGAGGGAAACATTCAGTCTTTCTGCACCTCTCAAAGCAGGCTACCTGGGTACCTTTTCCAAGTACAGTATATATGCCCTAGAATTAGCTTAACAAAAGTGACTTAACCTCACCGTGCCTCAGTTTCCTCACTTGGGTTCAAATCCCACCTCACATGTGGAGACCTTGGACAAGAATTTCAACTTCTTCAACATTTTTCCTCAACTGTATGATGAAGAAGTTGGACTTGATGGCCTTGAAAAGTACCTTTGAACTCTTGATCTATTATCCTATGATGGTGAAGGTCTATTACAGTTCTACAGCCTGTATAAAAACAAAAGAAACTCTATCATTCTAGCTTTAAAGGTCTTTATTAATCAGGATGTCCCTGACTTCCCTTAATCACCTTATTCACACTTGACAAATAAGGTTTTCTGTATATCTATGACTTCAGACAAGTCATTTGTCCTCTAGGTCTCAGTTTCCTCATCCATAAAACAAAAATGTTGGACTAGATTATTTCTATGTCTCTTTCAGCTCTGAAATTCCAAGTTTCTTAAAAGTATCTTATCATTAGTTAAACCTTTTTGTTCTTATCATTGAAAATAACTGCACTTTTAAAGCATGAAGCAAGGTATCCATGTATAACTGAATGTCATTTGTTTTGAAAAGGACCAATGATATCGGGGAGAGATGTCTTGACTTGAATGAGAATTGGATTGAAGTGAGGTAGAGTTGCACAAAGTCAACAGCCTCACTTTCTCTTCCAGAGTCACCAAAGTCAAGTGACTTCAAAGGCAAGACAAAAGTCAGGACGATTGGCGATGGCCCAGGATGCAGTGGAGATCTTGTCATCTTCGATGTCTGACCAAGCTGTGAGCACTACAGTCTCTCTTTAATATATCCCAGTATCATGTTATACTTGAAAAAAATATAGAATTACATGGTTCATTTATTTGGTTTATTCCCCACGATGATCCCCAAGTCTTTTTGCATTGTGGTGTGTTGTTTTTCTTCTTTATCTTTTCATTTGAATTTTAATTCATTAATTCATAAAATCATTTCTCACAAAAAGTGCACTACAAATTCTGTTCCTATTATTTTGTGATGGCAACAAGGCCCCCCCCCCAATTTTGTGTCATTCTCCCAAATTAATCAGAATGATCTTAATTATCTCATTCAAGTAATTCATAAGAATAGTAACACGGATGTCAGGACAAACCTCTCTACCACTGAAGTAACACAGGCCCTGCTATCCACCCACACTGCCAACTTTGGCTGGAGGTTGAGTTGAGAGACTGTTTCCATCCAAGCACAAATACAGGTTGCCTAGTAACAGTACAATGAAGGATCCTGATAGACCAAGAAGGTAAAATGAGAACCTAAGGGTGGAAGACATGCAGGGGAGTGACTCTACCACAGAAAAGACCACCTTCTCTCTCCTTTGCTTTGTCAATTGAGTGGCTATGATGGTGTGAGGACAAGGGAAGAAAGTTTGTGAATGACCCCAGAGTTTATGGTTTCTTTGATTATCCAGTCACTTTGAAAGGATTGAAATAAATGATTTTATCTATGTAGCAGTACTCTGTTAGCAGAAGACTTGTATATACAATGTAGGACAGCGACAATGTAAATGAAAAAATAGCCACAAGGAAGTTGAACTCTGAGTAACTGAAATAGCAGTAATAGTCCTAGAGACCAGACAATGAAACATACCTTCCTCCCTTCTTAATGGAGACTGTGACTACTAGGGTGGAAAGTTGTATATACATTGTAGACATGGTCACTGCATTCATCGTTTTTGCTGAACTTTTTCTCTTTCATTTTAGGGATGAGAGGGGAATATTTCCAGAAATGATTGTGACATAAAAACAAAATGCATCCACAAAATGTATTTCTTTGGCATCAAAGATGCTTTTTATGGGGCATATTTAATACTCCCCCCCCTAATTTTGGTATTGAAATGCTGACCACTAGTTTTTATAGATTCTTTTAGCCAGCTGTATACTCATATAGAATGTAACAGCAGAAGGGAAACTTGTAGCTCATCTAATCCAATTCTTTTGTTTTACAGATGAGCAAACTAGAGCCTGGAGAAGACAAATGACTCATCTAAGGTCACACAGCTAGCTGGTGACAAAGCCCAGATCACCTGACTTTTAGCCCAGTAATGTTTCAATGAACTCTCACAGTATTTCCTCTCCCAGTGTATTTTCTTGTGGAAACCTAACAGCATATCTGTCTCATTATTCATTTCTGCTCTAACTTTCCTCCCATCATCCTGAACTCATCACATTCATGCCAACCTCATGTTTTCAGCAGCACTCATCTCAACTCACCCCAGTTACCTGTCTCAACTGGACAATTTATCCATATGGCATTCTGTTCATATCTATCCTCTCCTTTGTTCTTTCTCTTTGGCCTTGGGCTCGTGGACTTTGGACAAACTTATCTTCCTCTTATTCAAGATCTGTTCCCTCTCCATCAAAAAAAATCTGGATTTCTCCTAATATCAACATAATTTCAGGGGATTGATCCTTTTATATCCTCCACAGGGCACCTAAAAGTTTGCTACTATTACAAAGAATTTGGGGATGACTAGCAGGGGCATGTGTGGCAATATATCCATTATGGTACTGTTGAGACCCTCAACTCCTACCAGGGTTGAAAGTCTGGACCATGGAATCTATACCTCTAATAACCATGGGAAAGGAGGGGAAAGGAGGGGAAAGGAGGAAGGAATAGAGAGGTCAATATATAGATCAGATTATCTCCCTTCCTAGAGAGTATACTCTGGCAGTATGGGAGAGAATCTCTCTAGAAACTAGATTCCACAGATTTTTATACTGGAATTCTATTCCTTGATTCCTCAGTTCTACTTTCAGGCTCTCATCACTTCCATCCCTCATATTCTCATTCTCAAATGGTCAATTATTTTAATAATGTTGTTATTGTCTACCAAGTCCCCAATCAACCTCTGCTTTCCTAAATGACTTGGGCATTTCATTTATTTCCTCTATCCATCCAATCTTCTAGTCACTTTCTTCAGAGCTTCCAATATTAATATTGATAGGGTCTCAGAATTCCTCTCATTCCTGGACTCTGATGTCTTTTTAATCCAGTCCACATCATTTGCTCTCCAAATAAGACACACCTTGAACGTAATTGTCACAAGATGCCACTTCCTCTCTGAGCTCACCAGTAATACACATCATGCACTTACTTACTTGTTCTTTTCTAACTAACCTTTCTTATCATTATTATGAAAATTATTTTGACTTCCTACCAGGGGTGGGGAACCTTTGACCTTGAGGCTACATGTGGCCCTCTAGGTACTCAAGTGTGGTCCTTTGACTGAATCCAAATCTCACAGAACTTAATAAAAGGATTTATTCTGTAAAACTTGGGCTCAATCAAAAGATCAGATCCAAGGACCTAGCAAGATATATTTACCTAGTAAAATATTGCCCCCCGACCCCTTTCCAACTTCATATCTGTGTGAAGCTAGATTTTCTTCTTATTCTTCAACCAAAACAACATTTTATTTTCCTTATTATGCATTTTATAATCACCAACAAATGTGAACATTTTAATGTTCAGCAAGCAACAAAATGTGAGTTTTAATATGCAAAGAAGAACCACTCCTGTCTAGACTCCCTGAAAAGGTTGCAGAGACCCCCAGGGGTTAACACTTTAAGAACAACTAATCTAGGCCTTTGGTGAATGACTTTTGGCAAAATTTTCTGTCTCCAAAATATATTATACCTACATTAATTTGTATGTGTGAACTTCTTTCTTTTCCAACCAGCTTCCCCTTCCTTTTAAACACCCAGGATTTTCTAATTCTTAAAGAACTATCCCTTAGTTTCTATTTGACCTTTAAAGCCACACAAAATTATGCTGCCTGATCAGTGATTTTTAGGATTGACATTTTATGTCTTTCTAAAAGAGTACCTCAACTACCTTCTT